GCCATTTCAACAGTTCCTACTGTGAGCATTGACCTGAAAACAACCTTCGCCATTGTCTGTATTTTCCAATAAGACAGGGTGGAGATCATAGCTAAAGACTACGGTAACCACAGAAGCCCGTGTTATGTGCCCCTCACAGATAAGGAACGCCTCATCGGTGAGGCTGCAATGAATCACATGCACAAACAGGCCTGGTGGCTCATCTACTGGTTAACCGAGTCTCCTGATGGCTGACGATGCTGTGAGGGCTAGAAAGGGAAGTGAGAGAGAAATTCCAGACGATAAAGTAGAAGAGTGGAGAGATTCGTTCCAAAGTCTAACATTCTAGAAGGTTGCAAAGCCTGCTCTTTTACATGCAGGACAGGGGTAATCAAGGCAGCATAAATAAGCAAATATAAATCAAGGCCTGTCTTCGGTAATCAACTAGAATCCACCTAAGCACAAGTCAAAATCCAGGCGAATGGGGGCATCGGGTTATGGGGAGAAACTTCCTCTGCAGCTAATCGGCACCTACGTGATCCAGCACTCCTTCATTCCTATTCGCACTTCCCACTAATCTACGTTTGTTCGTACCTTTCGAAAGACATAAGCACCAGATACTATGGTGCTGATCTAGTGCATTCGAGCAATTTTCCTCCTAGACTGTCTACGACAAAAATGAAATGCTAATGTGTTATTTGCGTAGATAGACGACTAGTTTGGACACTGAAAAGACCTTCCCAGCTTCTTGCAAAGCGTCCTCAAAACGATACTATGCAGTAACAAATTGCACTACTACTACTACTACTTACTTGTTGGCTGTCCCCCTCAACGTCTATGTAGCCGATGTGAGTTAAATTGCTGCCTGTCTGCACAACTTCGTGAGGCTTCTCCCGTAAGCAGACCCACCAACTTCCAGTAGCTCACAATCACCACACAGCTGACTTTGGCTTGATAGATAAAGCGTTTCATCCCTTACTTCGATCCACATTGCCCCCATAATTCAACATTTCATTCGACGAAATGTCAAATCATGATTGGATATGGACAATGAGAATTTACTGCGTCGATGTAAATTGATGATAACTGTCTAAAGCGTGTGATTTACATCGACCACGGCAAAGTAGAATTTAGTGCCAAGAACAATAAATGCCCAATTTCTAACTTATAAATCTCTATTCATTTCAGATACTTAACTGCCATGTCTAATCAAATCAAGATAATGTGTGCGAATTTGGAATATTTCGTACATATATTTTTGGGTCCGGTGTTACTATCTTGGTAGGTCAATCCAGAGGGCACAAGGAGTGAAAGTAATTCAGTTGAAACCACTTTATATTAGAGTGTATTTTGGCATTACTGGTTGGCACCATGTTAGACAGAAATATGCCTCTTCTACATTTTGATTCCGTTCTTTGTCCGTAGAAGCATGCGGAATCCCGTAAGCTAATACAAAGGCAATTGCTATGAGTCAGCGCAGAGGAAAATAACTGGAATTGTAAAAAATGGATTAACAGATGCACAAGTTAGTGCTTGGGGTGGTAGGGTGCCCACGTATACCGAAGAAGGAAGCGCAAACAATATTATCCCCATTTTCAAAAGATACATCTATCTCCTGACAGGAAAATACTTACTTTCATTTAATTTACATAACATCCAAGCATCATTGGAATTATCAAAGCTGCTCATTAGTAGTCAGCAGAAACTCATAGCATTGACAGGTCTCGGTGATGTCAAGTCTGAGTTGGTACATTGGTGATTAAAGTAAGTAATGCGTGTTTAACTAAGCGTTCATCCTGGCAGAGCGTATATAAATCCGAGGTTAATTTCGTCTAGAAAGCTTGAGGAAACGCAAATGATTCCTGACCTTCGTTTTCTTTCTATATTCTTCGCAATGTTAGCTCCATTCGGTGTTTACTTGCAACATATTGCACCATGGAGTTGTATCTTGTCTGGTAATCATCATTCGAAATGAGTTACTTGACATTCCTGGTTAGAGCCGTTCACGTCGCGCCAAAGTAGGGCCGAATGCGATTAAAGTAGAGGGAGAGCAGAGCTTTGGCTTGATTTTGTTCTCCTCGCACTTTAATACAGTTCAAAAATGCCAAAACAGTCAAATTCATTTATTTAGTATAGAACATTCCATGGACATATCACCTGTTTATAAAATTGTGGCATTTTCAATGCTTTAAGGGCTAAATTGTGGAATTTTTATTTTAGATGTGGTCACGAGTCCTTAAGACACGTTTAACAGAATGATCATTTGCCTTATCTAACTCAAAAGTGTACACTTAAACAGTTGTTTTGTAGCCAATTTTAATGTTGATCACAATGATCTGTCTGCCCATGTTAGTTATAAGTTCTGGATGTAGGGTCGCCGTTGTACCACCGTTGACGACATTGCTGACTGCCTCTTCCCCATTTCTCATTCCTCTATTGCTATGAATGATAATCTGCAGTGAGTCACATTTTCAAATACTACAATTAAACACTGATTTTTATTTACTCCAATCTCTGAACTGGCATAATTTTAACGGGAGCAAACGACTGAAATAGAGTGCTGTTAAATCTTATTAATGCAAATTTGCTCAATACACGGTATCTGATGCTTGGGTCTCAAAAATTGTAGCAAAATGTCGTGGATAATGCAGTGTATGTGTGCCGAAATGGAGTAGAGTCCAGACCCATCCGACGTAGATCAATCACAGCTTAAAGGGACTTGCAAAATCATATACTACTGGATGCTATTGAGTAAAATTTGTGTGTAGAGTGAAATCTAACCTGCCGATTCCTGCACGCGGATGCAGATCTAACTAATACTTCCACCATTTTCACAGATTGATGCAAACCATTACAGGCACCGTTTTGACCATTTTGACATTGTACCTCTAAATAAATGAAAGGTCGATTGCAGTCAGATGGTAAAAACGCATCGTTTTTCACATAATAGGCCAAAGCTTGAGTGCACCATCACAAACACAGCGCCTTCCTTCTCTTCGGCATTCATTATGAACGCCACTAGCATCTCTGCTAGTAACCTCCTTAATCGGTTTACATGGGCACATTCCATTAGCCCAAACACCACACTACCCCTTGGTAAGCAGAGCCTTTGCAAGCTGTGGACCTGCACATGCACAGCTAATCACCATGTATTCGCTGGCAAGATTCCTAATGTGTATACTGATCCCTCTTATTGGTAAGCAGGAGAAATTGTTAAGTGACCCCAAGTCAACTCTACTCTACTCATTCATTTTCTCAGCAGATTCCAAAGGCAGAAAAGGCATATTTTT